ATTGACCTGTCCCCTTCCCTCACCCATTATCTGTGCTAGGAGCCATGCCTGTCCTTCATTGCAGGCTGCAGTGGTGTTCTGACACTACCCCGCCATGTATTCCTCCTCATGATAGAACATGTAGTTGCCAGTGGGAGCAATCACAGCCTGTCTTTGGCAAACAGGCTTGCTCCACTGCCAAGCCCAGGGCTCCCCTGCCACATTCTTGCCAATTCTGCCCCGCACACACACATACACCAACTTCCCTTCCATCTCATTCATTTATTACCTCGCTTTTTTCTGTACTGTCATCTCATGTGATATTTGTTCCTTTGTTTACATTGTTTATTCAATCTAATCACTCATCCTGATCTGCCACTGACTTGACCCTGGTGTTGACTTTTAAACCTAAGTAGGTGTGAAATGCTACCAAACCAGAATTCTTCACTCACTCATAGTGACTGGCTGACTACACAAAGAGCAAAGTAGTGGAAAGTAGTACCCCGCCCAAATTCCTTTCTATCTGTTGAAATGTTCACCCAACAGAATGTTCTGTTACCTTTACCCCAACTTCCCTATCCTTTGTCTCTCTTGTTCTCTGTCTTATTGGTTTCCAAGGAATCCACCCTCCGTCCTCCCAGCCACTCCCATCTCATTAATCTTTTGTCTTCCACAGAGCTGTCCTATCCATTGGACCGTTTGGGAAAGCTGCACCAGACCCAGCACTTTGGGGGACCCCATAGACTTACAATAGCTTGGGAAACCTGGTGCTGGAAGCAGTGGTCAGGCCCCCAGCACTCACCATGGCAGTGGGAAGCAGAGCGACCCAACCCCAATCTGCTCCCCTTCACTATCTCCCAGCCAGGTAGCTCTGCTTCACTGCACCAATAGGAAGCAGAGCAACCTTGCCCCAGCCTGCTCTGCTCCTCCCCCGCCCCCACACACACAGCAGTAGTCCCTTATGTCATGTTGCTTAGGGGAGGGGACTTGGTGAAGGGATGGAATGGTGGCATGGGTGAGAGAAGCAGGGGCGGGAAGAGGTGAAGTGGGGATGGGCTTTGGAAAAGGGTGAAGTGGGAGTGGGGAGAGGGCAGAGTAGGGCTGGGAAAAGGTGGGGTGGATCCTGGGGCAAAGAGGGAGATTTCCCCAGACTCCTCCACCCGTAGGGACAGCACTGATCTTCCAAGCCCCTGCCAATCAGCTGATCTGCTGACATCCCCCCTCACTACTTCTGGTCCTCTATGTCAGCCCTTCTACCAGCCAGTCGTGCCTCTGCCTCCTCCAGCATGTAGATTCTGTGCCTTCTTCCTGGATGGAGTATCTGCCATTACTGTGTTCAGGGTGTGGCGGCAGAGACCATCCTCCATTTTGAAAGGAGGGTTGCGGACTGCAGAGGGCTAAATAAACTGGAGTTGCCACGGCTTACATCAGGGTCTTGCCGCTGGGGTAATATTAAAGTAAAATATTAACTTCAGTGTTAACTACAAACTCCCCAGTTGCCACGGCTTACATCAGGGTCTTGCTGCTAGGGTAATATTAAAGTAAAATATTAACTACAGTGTTAACTACAAACTCCCAGGGCCTTTAAGGACAATACATCTCCCCATTGTACCTATGCAACTGCAACAAACTGATATAGCAGGTGATAGAGAATGTGGAAGCTTAAGGAATGGATCTATTAAAAGGGTAGTTTAAAAATAAAAGTTTGTTGAGTACATTAAATCCCTTCATTGAGTCATATGTAAAACCTATGAGGAAACTAAGGAAGTTTGCAGGGTCAGATGCACACTGCACTGTAATATTTTCCTTCCTCTGTCCAGTCACCTTCATAAGCAGAGAGTTCTTACCCTTGAACAACGTTTCTGGCACAGTTTTCTCTAGAACCAGGAGAAAACACAGCTTTTGTTGGATCACTTTATTAGATCAAAGAGGGAAATAAGGGGTAAGTCTTCTAAGTAGTATTTATGTTTATATAGCACCCTCTGGTGTTAAGAATACAACATTCCAAGGAAAGTTGTATTAAAGCATCCATTAAATATTTTAACGTGGAAATAGTCAAATATTTGTTTTGCTTTGGCTTGTAATTTAGGTTTGTTTCCTGGTGTAGTTCCTGGCTTGCTATGGACCTGAGTAAGCTAGGTGAAGACATACTTTCAATAGAGGAAAAAAAAAACATCTTCCAGGTTTCCAGGTTTTTCAGCTCTAACCCTTTCTAATCTTGCCCCTGCATACTTGCATTGTATGCCCATATTTATCCTTTGTAATCTGACTTAGTTTCCACTTTATATACAACTCCTTTTTGATTTTTAGATCATGTAAGATCTTCTGGTTGAGCCAAGGTGGTCTGTTACCATACTTTCTATCTTTTGTACACAGTGGAATAGTTTGCTTTTGGGCCCTTAATAATGTCCCTTTGAAAAACTTCCAACTCTCTTCAAATCTTTTTTCCCATTGGACCTTACCTACCAGCTTTCTGAGTTTACTAAAATCTGCCTTCCTGAAATCCATCATCTCTGTTTTGCTGTTTCTCTTCTACCATTCCTTAGAATCGTGAACTCCATGATTTCATGATCACTTTCACCCAAGCTGCCTTCCACTTTCAAATTTTCAACCAGTTCCTCCCTATTTGTTAAAATTAAATCTAGAACAGCTCCCCCCCAGTAACTTTCTTAACCTTTTGAAATAAAATGTCTTCAATGCAGTCCAATAACTTATTGGATAACCTGTGCCCTGCTGTGTTAGTTTGCCAGCATATATTTGGAAAGTTGAAATTCCCTATCACCACCAAATCCTATGCTTTGAATGATTGGGTTAGTTGCTTTAAAAAAAAAGCCGTATCCACCTCTTCTGCCTTGGTAGGTGGTCTGTAGTTGACCCCTAACATGACACCACCCTTGTTTTATACCCCTTTTAAACTAACCCAGACATTCTCAACAAGTCTGTCTCCAATGTCCATCTCCACCTCAGTCCAAGTGCATATGTTCTTAATATATAAGGCAACACCTCTTCCCTTTTTCTCCTGCCTATCCTTCCTGAGCAAGCTGTACCCATCTAACCCAATATTCCAATTATGTGAATTATCCCACCAAGTCTCTGTGATACCAACTATGTCATGGTTGTGTTTATTTATTAGCCTTGAAGTTCTTCCTGTTTATTTCCCATACTCCTTGCTTTTATATACAGGCATCTAAGATACTGATTTGATTTTGTCCCCCCAGTTCTGCCTTGCCCCTTCTTTATCTCTGCTATTAAAGCCAATGGTCCCTCCCATTTTTGACCCATCTTCCAGGTTCCATGTTTTTCACTTACCTATGGGCTTTGGTCACCTGCCTCCGTCGAACCTGGTTTAAAGCTCTCCTTACTAGGTTAGCCAGTCTGTGTCCAAATCTGTTCCCCTTCCTCGAAAGATGAACCCTATTCTCTTGTGTTCATTGTTATGTTCTTATGAAATCATCCTTTTAATCAATTATATCTAGTAATATGACATTATGTAACGTCAGGAATTGCAGACCAATTTTTATCAACAGGATTTTATAAATGAAACAGTGTTAATCACTTTTGGATTAATTTGTTAGCAGTCTGTTAAGAAATGCCTTTGAAGAATCTTCTATTATACAGATTATATTATATATACAAATTATATATATTATTTTTAATACATTGTAACTAAAGTGATCCCATGTTGTAATTGAAACCCTATTTTAAACTTGATACTGCCTTAACTCTGTTTAAAGTTGGAGGGGAGAGTTAATTTCATTTAAAAGTGTGAATAAGGGCAGGGGGATAATGGGATCAATATCTCCCTCTACCTCCTTTCCTCCAGAACATCACTTTGATGGTGTAAAATCAACGCAGGTGAACCCTACATAAGAACTCACCCACAAAAGAGAGACAAAAGCCCCATCAAGAAAAAGATCACATACACATCTGCCAATAACTGATAACTCATGATCATACAATACTCTGGGGCAGTGGGACAGGACAAGATCTATGCACTAAAACATATAAAAAGATGGGTGCAAAACTATAGAATTGGGTCTATTGGTTTTATGATCATCCTCCAGAAGCACTGGTATGTATCAACCACCTCCTTGTGTCTAGACCACCTGGCCAGTGGACTAGCATGAGCAACTGAGGCAGGTAATTATATCCCATCCATAGAACTGTGTGTATAAGTGTGTGTATGTGTGGTGAAGAATTTCAGTAACGTGGCACAGAACATGAATTCTGAATTCACAATAAACATGGCATACTGCCTTATCCACAGAACAAGATTCTGCTAGTTCTATTTCTCTAAGTGCAACATACAGACCATTATTTACCTTTCATTATTTTCAATTATTATTTCTGTCACATTTGCACCATCTATTACAAGAGAGAAAAATACATTCATTTTCTTTAGAGTTATATAGAGTCCATAGTTGTAGAGTTTAATATTTTAAAAGTCACCATTGGATCCAAAATGATGGTGATGAAGGAACGCATAGACACTCTTTGGAGACATCGAATGTGGATTTGCTTCTATAGCTGAAGGCATTTCGGAATTCTCCACAAGAATCATGAATGACTAGGGGAGAGTTCCCTCTAAGCTACTGGGAAGCCTAGCTGTACAGGTGATTAATGAGCTCCACTTAGTCAACTCTGTGCATCAACCCTGAGCCTCTGACTGGGTGGGGCTGATTAATCACCTGTGAAGCTGGGCTGCTGCTCAGCTTAAAGGGAGCAGTGGTGTCTACCATCACCTGAGGAAGTGGCGATGAAGGTAAGTTAAGAAGAAAGGTGATGACTGTTAAATCATCAGGAGAGAAGTAACAAGTCACCTGTCTCCAATCCTGAGTATAGTGTATCTCTCCTCTGAGCAGTGTTCCCTGCAAGCTGTGCACTTGGGCGTCCACCCAGGAGAGGTTCAAATGCCACCCAGCTAGTTAGAAGGGCATCCAAAGCATCCACAGCCAGCAGCGTGTTTCTATTGGTGGTACACATCCACACAGATGGAAAAAATTAGAGGAAACGTTGCCTTTGAATGCTTTTAATTCTCACTGAAGTTCTTTGAATCATTAAAGCACTTAAGCATATAATTCATTTTAAGCCATGGGACTTAAACACATGCTTAAGGGTTTTGCTGAATACATATGGACTTAAGTACACGTATAGAATTAAATCCATGTGGACCTTATTGAATCATGGCTTGGAAGCCAAAGAAAGGTTTGTCATATAATTGTTTATTGATATGAAAATAATTAAATTTCCTCAATAATTACTAAACATAAAACACAGTAAGGATTTATAGTACATCTTAGTTTTGTTCTTCTTTTGAAGCTAGTTTTAACGTTTGGCTTTGCAAATATTTAACATATTATTGCTAAAATGAATAAATAATGCTTTTTATATATTACCATATTCTAATGCTGCACATTAGGGCTATTTCCAATATACAGAAAATTGTAAAACCTTTTGTCCTCTGAAACAATACAAATAAACTAAATCTTAATTTAAGATTATTCAGCATGCTCTGCTACTAAAACACGGTTACAAATTATTAAATTAAGTGCATTTTGGTTGGTTTAACCTATCATGAGGTAAAAATAACTTGTATATGCATTTATAGTTATGATCATTATTTTCATACAAAAGAAATAGTAGCCTTCTGCTAATAACCAGCAAAGGGATGGGTACATCACACTTTACCAAGACGCTTCTTAATAAAGTGTCCCACTAATTTCTGTGGTCTCTGCTGATACTCCACAAGTACATCATGTGAGCTGCTAATCTGATCCCCTTCAAGTCGATTCAGAAGTGTGACACAAACCACAGCAGCTACAGATAAAAGGAATAGTATCTGTTAGAAATTACATTTAAGTAACTTTCACAGTGGGAAAGCATGAGAGCATCTTCTAAGTGTACACCCGTCTCCGAGGTATCAAAACAAAAGAGGAGATAAAGCCACGGAAACTAATAGTTTCAGTGATGAGTTTGTGTAGTTTGCAAGAGAGCTACCAAGCCATTAGTAAAGTAAATGGAGCTGCTTCAACATGCAGTCACATTCAGAACATTCATGGCCATTGCATCATTAGAACCTTTTTCTGAACAGGATTTTTTTTCAATAAGTTTCCCACAATGTGTGAAGATGATTAGTAAAATTGTGTTAGAGATCAAAAGCTACGCGTAGGCTAACTTACCTGAGGTAGCTTGGATCCAACTACTGTGGTTAACACAATAGTAATAGAGCATATGCAATGTGGGATTCCCCAGCAGGTAATAAATGGGGGAGAGGGGAAGAAGTAATAAACACCTCACAAGAAGTCATGCTCTCATATCTCAGACCAATTAGAAAAGAAAGACTTTGTGAGCTTTGGCCCACTGATGGGAGGAGGGGAGTGGAGCAAAGGGGGCAATGCCCTAGGGCCTGGCAATTCAAAAGGGCCTGCAGCTCCTGGCTGTTGGTGCTGCTACCAGAGTGCCCTCCACCACACTCCAGGCAATACTGAGGGTTGGAAAGGGCAGGTGCACTGTGATCTGGGCAATGTGTAGGTCTGGCTGCCCTGGCCCTGTCGCTTCCATCAAAAGCCCCATTTCTTCTAAAAGAATTGCCCTACACACACACACACACACACACACACACACGAGAGGGGTGTGACGGCTTCTTGAGAAGAGTAGAAAATGACTATTTAAAGTTTTACTTGCGCATTTTTTCTAAATTCATCTACCTAAACATTAACTACCTCATAAGAGAACATGCTTTTTAAACTGGGAACCACAGTATTCACCAGGCTACTAAAAAGCTTTCTTAATTGTTTCAGAATTGTTTGCAAATGCAAATCTTCTATCTATCTGTCTTCCATTTTAATGTGTAAGTAAAGAATGTGACTGTAGTTTCACTGAACCTAAGCTCTTTTCACTTGAAAGGCACTATCTAAATGTAAGTTAATAGTTATTATTTCAATTTAGAATCAGTGCAGGGGGACTGATTGACTGAAGTTTCTTATTTAATTTTAAGGCAGTTACATTAGTTCCTCTGAATACTTCTGGACTTGAATGGCTGTTTCTCAGTGCTAGTCAAAAGCTGGAGAAATTACTAATCAGGTCTGAACTGGATAAGAGCTGTGTGAGGGAGTTTACATAGACCTGGCACAAACATACAGGCAGTACCCCAGCTGCTCTGCCCCAGGCGTCCCCAAGTCAGCTTCTGCTGAAACTGACCAGCGCTGACTACAGGAAGCCCGAGGCAGAGTTGCTCTGCCCCGGGCTTCCTGGAATCAGCTGCTGATCAGTTTCAGCAGCAGCTGACTTGGGGATGCCTGGGGTTCTTAAGTTGATTCTGTATGTAAGTCAGAACTGGCGGTCAGTTTCAGCAGCGGCTGAATCTGGACGCCAGTTCCGACCTACATACAGATTCAACTTAAGAACAAACCTACAGTCCCTATCTTGTACGTAACCCGGGGACTGCCTGTACTGCATAGTTCTGGCAAATCAGACTAAAATAAGTTTAACAACATCTATAAATATTTATAATCATATATGCTAATAGTATAGTATAACTTTCCACTGCAATGAATGTAATGCTTTAAACTCTGTATACTGTATGTTTTCTACAACACAGATGATTTACTCTAAATAAAGTGCCATTCATACAATTACCTCTGACACCACTAAGATTACAAAGAGCAGCAAAAACTGAAGATTCCATCTCAATATTTCGGACTCCAGCATCATAAGCATCCTTCAAATACTTCAGTTTCTCTTCTTCAGCATATGAGCAGATTGCACCATCCAGACGGGCTTGGCCTAAAAAGCATAAAAATATATATATTTTTTTGTACTGATGAAAGTACAGGGGACAGCTTCAGCTCCAAGGGACACAAAATTGTTATAATTTCTAATATACCCTTCCTAATTTTTATCACTGCACTAACCTCTGTTTTTACTTGAAAGGCACTATATAAATGTAAATTGTTAGTTATTATTTGAATGTAGGATCAGAATAATTAGAAATAAAAAGACCAACTAAATGACCAGTTTCATAAACAGGGAAATGTAGGATATAATCCCTCAGATGAACTAAGTTTCGAATTTTAATTGTGACATTTTCTCTCGGCTGGTTTGATGTATTGATTATTTTTTAGTTTAGTAGGCCCTAGGAAAGCATCCAGATCTGCTAACACCTTTCTGATACAGAGGGTAGGAACAATCTGAGCCCTATTTATGCTTCAGGACTTTTTAGATAATGAGAGATAAAGAGTTTCTTAAAGTCAGACGATATTGTGCCTATTTTTAGGAAAGAGTTAGTTTAGTCCTGCTCTTTGGGGCTTCAGCCTTAGAGGAACAAATTTTTAGTTATTAAGTGGTGTTAGACTGCATGTAGCCAAAATAAATGTTATTGTTCTCTAGTTATCATATTTTTTGTATTCAGGAACTGCATTCCAAAGCTGATGTTCTCTCTCTGTTTGCCAGCATCAGTGGAAAACCTGTTGGTGTACTTTTAGAACCCACTGACTGGACCATGGACCCATTACCCTTTCTAATGGTGACTGAAGAAAGCCACATACTGACATTGCTGTGTTTGAGATCCGGATATAACCTTGAGCACTGCTAGAACCAAGGATTGTGTGCTCTCCAAACAATATATCCAGCCACAACTAGAGGCAGATACTTGGGGAGAAAGCTTGTTCTCAGAAGATTTCTAGCTCAGTTTGTAAACCTGGCAGGTTCATAGAAGCATCTGAATTTTTGTGATACTTATCTAAATCGATCCCAAATTTAAATCCTTGATTCTTGCTTATCCCAAATCCAGCAGTACTGACATAAAATCCAGTTATCCAATTAATTGTTAATTAAGGATGAACCAAAAATTCGTTGCAGGGCTGCTTACAGAGAATTTTGCTTAGGCACATGAGCAATTAAAAAACACACCAATAACTCTCATTATCAAATTCTATCATGTGCTAAATGGGATAATAGAAACTCCATTAGAGAAATACCCTGATACTTCAGCAATCAAAAGACATATGATTTATGATCTGTCAATCATTGTCAACTCTCTCTTCAGATAATCATTTAGGGTATGTCTACACTACATGTCTATTTCGGGATACCAGAGGTATATATCATGAAATAGCTACCCCGCATCTACAAAAGCCGCCTGTTATTTAAAAATATTTTTCAAAATAACGGGCACACTATTTTGCTATCCCGGTAAACCTTGTTGCACAAGGGAATGGCTCCAAATAGCGTGTTATTTTGAAATTTGGTGCTGCGTAGATGCGCCAAATTTCAAAATCAGCTATTTCGAAATAGTTTTGAAATAAAATACGCAATTTTCATAGTGCAAATTGTGTATCTTATTTTGAGTTTAGGGTGCTGTGTAGATGCATCCTTATGGAAGAAAAACACCACAAAATTACTTCCCAATACAGCCGAGTGATTAAATATGTGCTTAAATTTAAGCATGTAAGCTGTACTCTCATTGAGATCAACTGGACTATTCATCTCATTAAAGAAAAGCACATATTTAGGACTTTGTTGGATTTGAGCCTTAGTCCCCTAATCCAGTTTGATTTGCATACGTTCCTGCTAACTAATTTACTTCTGTTATTCTGTTGCTAGACTTACCTTCATAGAAATCCAAAGTGCACATAGTATTTCCAATAACAGTATTGAACTGATTTATCTCCTTACTGCACTGCATCAATTCCTTAGCTAGTTGGTCATCTAGATTGGTACTGCGAATTACAGTCTTGCCCAGAATAACCTGTTCAAACTGAGGCTTGAAGGTAGCATCTACTGATTGCCGGGTTACTACCACTGAGCCTGGCTCCAGACCTGTTGTAAAAAAAAAAATATATATATATAGTGAGCTGTTCGGCCTCTCTGCTTATATGTAAACAAGGTACATTATAGCCCAGTCCTGCTCCTACTGAAATCAATCAGAGTTGCCACTAAACTCAATGCTAGAAGTGTTAGGATCTATGTGTATGCTTATATTTACTATTCCAAATGTTTCAAAATAACTCTACAGAAGAGACACAGCATACTGCCAATTAAAAGGTTATTTATATCAAAGACATAGGGCCATCAAGTAAGCTTAATGGTCTGACAAATCCAAACTGTTTTGGAAATGTTTCATGTAGGGCATAAATGACTTTTTCCCCAGCTTGCTGCAGATCTCTTCAATCAAGCATATTTTCCTGTCTGGGGAACAAGATATCATCTTTTATTTTAAAATTATATAAATAAAAAAATTCATTATCTAATGGGTAATAAAGTTTAAGGAAAAATAAGACTGCTATGTGTGACTGAAAAAGTAAGAAACACACACACACACACACACACCTACCTCTCTCTCATATACACTATTTCATGATCCAGAATTCTGGACTAAGGTGTGAAAGATAGGTGTGTCCTAAAGCAGAACTAAGATCCATTCACTGGGACTGTGTACCAATATTTTAAAGATGATATTAAAATACTAAAAAAGGTGTGTTTTTTAATATTGGACTTGCATTCTTTTTCACTTTTCTATGGGTATGTCTACACAGCAAAGTTATTTCAAAATAACAGCCCTTATTTCGAAATAAATTTCCTAGCATCTACACAAGCCAACTGCTATTTTGAAATTAATTCAAAATAGCAAAGGGCTTATTTTGAAATTGGTAAACCTCATTCCATGAGGAATAGCGCCAATTTCAAAATTGCTATTTCAAAATAAGCGCTGTGTAGACGCTTATTTCAAAACAGGGGGCCTCCAGCACTTCCCAGGGTGCCCTGCTAGCCTCCCTGGCTACAAGGTAACTTCTGACCTGATGCCCTGCCGGAACCAGTTTTGGCGGGCCTTAAATGTGATTCAGCATCCAATCAGTGTGGACGCGCTAATTAGAAATAGCAAAAAGCTATTTCAAAATGCATTTTGTGTGTGACGCGCTATTTCAAAATAAGAAATTTCAAAATTAGATATTTCGAAATAACACTGCAGTGTAGACATACCCTCTGATGCCTTGAAGAAGCCCTGAAAAGAATTTCTTCTGTTTTTCTTAATAGGAGAACAAACAGGAATGCAAATTTCAGTGCTCCCTTGTTTGGGTGGAGGACTTCCCTAGGATGCATAATGTGACCACTGACACCTTAATTTAAAAAGTGTGATTGCTGAATCTTGATCCTAGTCACTCTTTATCCAAAATGTTTAGTTATTTGAGTCAAATAGATATTAACAAAAACAAGCCAAAAAGTTTTACACCGTCTGCTTAAAATTCCTTTTCAGTTATTCAGCTGTCACTCTCTTGACTCCTGTGTCACTATTTCACTAGTGAAGTGTATGTCTACACAGCAACATTATTTTGAAATAATTAGCATTATTTTTAAATAACTTAGCCCGTGTCTACACAGCACGCAGCTATTTTGAAATAATGGTGAAATGCTGTCAAGCGGAAGGACTTCTTATTCCGACTCCTGTAACCCTGTAACCCTTCTTACTCCAACTCCTGTAAGGAAAGTCGGAGGAAGAGTTCTCTATTTTGAAATAAGTGCTGTGTAGATTCTCCCAAATTTGAAATAAGCTATTACTCTGCTGTGAGATGCACTCAAACTAAATTATTAATGTAAAAACTAAGCAAAATATTTAAAAAAATATTCAGGATTTCTTTATACATTGTAAGGAAGGAAAAGAGAGCACCAAATCCAATTTGTTTTCCATTGCAAGGCACTTTTAACCTCTGTTTTCTCTGTAAAGTAAGGGTGCTAATATTTACTTAATAAATATTCACAAGACTGTCATAGGCATTAACTAATATGTAAAGACTTCTGAAAATGAAATACGTATTAGATCTTATTGTTATGCCTATGTGTTATAAAACTTTAACTACAAAGATGCTATAATTTTAAAAAAAGAGAAATATCAAGGGAAAATACCTATTCCACCGGAGGTGCCAATGCGAATAATGGTTACATTGGAGCACTTGGAGTGATACAACAGCTTTATCAGCTCATGCAACATGATTGCTATAGAAGGGATACCCATACCATGCTGAAATGAAATCAGAAATTCACACTGAACATTCATATACATTATTAACAGAAGAGTCAGAAACTGGCTGAATTAAAATGAAAAATACATGCAAAAGTAGTCTTATGCAGACCTAACCTATGGGCCAGTGTAGAAGTTTACTGTGGTCAATGGAAAAACTCCTAGGCTATATCTAGACTGGCATGATTTTGCGGAAATACTTTTAACGGAAAAGTTTTTCCATGAAAAGTATTTCCACAAAAGAGCATCTAGATTGGCAAGGATGCTTTTGCGCAAAAAGTGCTTTTGTGCAAAAGCATCCCTGCCAATCTAGAAGCACTTTTGCGCAAGAAAGCTCCAATGGCCATTTTAGCCATCGGGCTTTCTTGCGCAAAAAATTGAAGTGCCTGTCTACACTGGCTCTCTTGCGCAAGTATTCTTGCACAAGAAGGCTTATCCCTGAGCAGGAGCATGAAAGTATTTGCGCAAGAAGCAGTGATTTTGTACATTACAAAGTCAGTGCTCTTATGCAAATTCAAGCGGCAAGTTTAGATGCACCCCTATTGACTGCAGTGGTGCAGTGTTCCCATATACCGTGGGTGATGTTAATTTTTAAAAGGTTATATTCTCTATACTGTAAACTAGTGTTTCTCAACCTTTTTTTATAAAGTACCCCTTTTTCAAAAAAAAAATTTGTAAGTACCCTCAGTACCCAGTTTTCAGACTCACACAAAAAAATTCTACTATTGCAACACATTTGTTCAAACAACTTAATTATAGCCGGGCAAGCGATGAAATTTTTTAATGTAAAAAGTACAAAAATAATAAAGTGCTATAAAAGTTAGAATAAAAATTCACTTTTCTCCAAATTTCAGCTGTGTTGACATATTGCCCAGATGTCTCTCAAGTACCCCTAAGGATACTCGTACCACTGGTTGAGAAACACTGCTCTAAACATGAGTCCCTTTGTAATCTTTTACAGTTACATGCCTTCACAAAGCTTCTACAGAGCCTGAGATCAATGTTCCCTCTTGTTCTTAATGACCTGAAACAGGGATGTGTCCAACTGAGCTAAAATCTTACAAAAGGCAGAGTCTACGGTATATTTAAAATTGTGAATGTGCTCCAGTGTGTCCAACTGAGCTAAAATCTTACAAAAGGTAGAATCTACGGTTTATTTAAAATTGTGAATGTGCTCCAGCTCACACCATGATATGACAATTTGCACATTAAGAGGAAGAGAGCACAACATGGCCACAGTTGTGGTGTTGATGCTATGGGGTTTGGGGTGGGTTTTCCCATGCTTATGCGTATGTCCACACTGCAATTAAAAAGGCCCTGGGCACTGTGGGTACATCTAGACTGCACACTAAAATCAAAATAAGATACGCAATTTGCACTACACAAATTGCGTATCTTATTTCGATTTTATTTCGAAGTAGGCTATTTCGAAATTTGAAACGTCTATACGGTGCCAAATTTTGAAATAAAGCACTATTTTGAGACATCCCTTATTCCTCGTGGATCGAGGTTTATAGAGATGCCGAAATAGCGCGTCCTTTACTTTGAAAATTATTTCAAAATAGCAGATAAGTTCCTTTGACGTGGGGTAGCTATTTTGGGATACCTTGCAGTCTAGACGTACCCTGCGTGTAAGAACCAGACCAAGTGACTTAAGCTCATAGGGCTTGGGCAGTGTAAATGTTTGGAGCCCAGGGTTGCAGTGGTTTCAGAGCCCATGCTCTCTACCCTCAGTCCAAACATCTACTCTGCAATTTTTTGCCTGCAGCACAAGCCTTGCAAGTCTAAGTCCCCTGAACAGGTCAACTGCAGCTGTGCCATTGGTCTTTTATTGCAGTGTAGACATAGTCTATGACATAGTAGTATAAATCCAGTGGACTTTCATTGGTACTTGTACTCCTAAACCACCTAAGTACCTTTTGAAAATCTGAGCTATAGCTACCTATGTCCCTCCCCCATAAGCACTGTAGATAAGCCATCTCTGTGTTCTCTCTAGAATAGGACAAGTAAGGTAGAAAACCTAGGGCTTGGGATTACAAAAGGTTGTGGTGGCAGCCAGGAATCACTGGGATGTAGGAATACACCAGCCGTGCTCCCTTTCTTCTTTCCAGTTACCGTACTTTGCACCATTGAAATACACCTAAAAATTCGGATTTATATCCTCTAAAGAAATGTTTAACAGAAATAGGCATTCACGTCCCACTTAAAATATACTTGAATTGTTGATTCAGTTCCAACTAAGGCATTGCATATTGAAAAACATTCTGTTTTTCTACTTCAGGAATACTCAAAACAATAGTCACGGACTAAGCCTGGTTCTTTTTTTGAAGTACTGGCAAATATAATTCCTCCTCCACTCCTCTTAATGCTTAATACTTACACTGACTGATAACACGGGTCCTACTTTGTACATGGCATAACGATCAGTTCCCTCACAGATGTTGGGATAATCCCCACTGGCACTTTCAAGTCCAAGCTCTTTAGCTATGTAGGTGGTAAAAGCTTTCATCCGTGAAGGGCTTCCTCCAACACATACAAACTAGCATGGATAGAATTCAATACATCAAAACAGTTAGGCAGTTGACTTCATGAGGCAGCATATTCAAGAACAGTCAAAGTTAAATATAATCATACAAAAGATTTAATCAGAATTATTCCCAACTACATTATTTTTAGTATTACACTCCTTGTAGAGAGGTGTAACTCGGGGACTGCCTGTATTACACTCCTTGTAGAGAGGACTGTAAAGATGAATGTTTGAATATAAGGCTTAAAAGGGTCTCTGCCATTGCCTGGCAATGGAATTTCATCACTAAAGTGCAAAATGTAGAACTAGGCACACATACATTTAAAATGGCACTTTGAACTGGGATGTGTTTTAAATAATAGGTACAGAATGCAGCGTGAATGTAAAAGAGAAATTACTTGAATATGCCAAGGGAGACAGGGCTCCATAACTGTACTGGTATATAGGAATGAACCAGGAGCCTGAGAGAGTAGTTCTCAATCAGGAAATAGTAGCATTGACAAACTGAAGAGTTCAAACAACAAACCTAAATAAGCCCATGAGATTTATTTCTGATCCAGTGTCCACACATAACTCATTTCTAGGGCACATTCATTGTAATGTCTTTGCTAATATCATTGTATCGTAAAAAAGAAAAACAATGAATATATAAAATATACCTTAAAAATAGGTTGCAGATGATGCATTTTCTGTCACCTCAGGAGTATTATTTCAAGTACGGAGGTTTTGTTTTTAATAGACTGAGTAACTCATCTGACTTCATATAAACCTTGTAAAAGAAGCTACCACAGTACATGCAAAAGGACAAAATGCTACTTTACTCAGTAAATGAAAGATGGGTAGTATCCACTCAGTCCTTAGGGTATGTCTACACTTGCACCTTCTTTTGAGAGTGGGATGCAAATAAAAGACATTTGAAATTGCAAATGAAGCCGGGATTTAAATATCCCGTGCTTCATTTGTATATTTGCATTGTGGCTCTATTTTGAAATAACAGACGCTGCTAAGACGCAGTTATTTCGAGAGAAAACCCTCTCTCGAAATAACCCTTATTCCTCACACAATGAGGTTTACCAGTTATTTCGAGAATAATATTTTCTCTTGAAATAACCGTGTCTTAACAGCATCTGTTATTTCGAAATAGTGCTATTTTGAAATAGTGCCATAACACGAATATGCAAATGAAGTGTGGGATATTTAAATCCCGGTTTCATTTGCAATTTTGAATGTCTTCATTTGCATCCCTCTCTAGAAAGAGGGTGCAAGTGTAGACATACCCTTACTCAAATAAAACTTCAGTTAGGATGCTATGACCTTGAACCTACTTCCACTGCAATGAGTGAACATTTGGAATTGGCTTCAGAGGAGACAGGATAAGGCCTCAGAAGGGAGATTTTCCTGACTGACATCTGACTAGAGATTGCAACATTCGGCCCAATAATTACAAAAGGACACTAATTTTGTAAATCTAAATATTGTAGGTTGATGCTAGTGTTCCCTCTGGGTTCTTATCTCTTTTCTATGCATTCTTCAAACTGATTCATGCTGCTGTCTTTAACCTAATTCTGGACACAATTGCATTTCAGTGGGAGTTGCACAGTTGGCTAACGTGTTTAAACTTCCAGAATGAAATCAAGGTTCTTACCTTTATATCTCCAAACAAGGCAGGAAAATCATGGGTGCCAGTACCAAGAGCAAAATGGTACAATATATCATCTTTCATTTTCTCAAGGTGAGGGTTAGAGAGATGAATTAAGCTGTCTCTGTCCATATATAATGGAAAATATATATTAAACTCAAAAAACTCCTATGTTAAAAGACCATTATTAATGTTATAAAAGTCTAGTGTTCAAAAGTTTAAAAAAAGCCAGAATTAAAGTTGCCTGTGCACCTTTAACTTACCCCCTTGTGTGCATGTGTGCATGCCTTATGAGACAATCTTTAATGACACCATCACATACTAGGTTTTTTTTCTTTCTAGAAGACCTCTACCTCATTCAGCATACAGGAAGAACCATGCTCATTAAACAAGCAGCTATTCAAAATTATGTTTTATCCTTTTTAGTGTGTAGTCTCAGGCCTTATTCACTGCACGATACTTAAACCTTTCTCAAAATAGAAAATTATTAATTTCCTCAGGGCTAAATCTGAGAGCTCCATTAATTTATTTTCATGGCCCCTCTGAGAGATGAAAGTGTTTTATTATTTCCCATTTTACAGATAGGAGCGGAGGCACACTAATTTCAGGTGCAAAATTTGAAATTCCTAGGGTACGTCTACACTACAACACAATTTCGAGGGAACTAGAGCTATTCCCGAAATAACTTAATACACCTCTACACAACAGGCAGATATTTCAAAATAATGTCAAAATACTGTCAAGCTGGAAGATTTCTTATTATGACTCTTGTAACCCTCATTGTATGAGGAGTAAGGGAAGTCGAAGGAAGAGTGCTCTATTTCGACATAAGTGCTGTGTAGACAATCCCTATTTCAAAATAAGCTACACAATTGATGTAGCTCAATTTGCGTATCTTATTTCCAGTTAAGCCCTGCAGTGTTGACGCACCCTTGGAAACTGAATTTTTGGAGTATGTAGCTTTATGCAGTACTTTATATGTTCAAGACCCATCTCTCATTGATTTCAAGGTATGTGTGAGCTTTTAGCAGTTCTGCAAATCAGATGTCAGCATCTCAAAATTGGCACTCAGAAAATTAAAAACACACAAGTCGGGTACGTCTATACAGCCGCGTTATTTCAAAATAACTAATGTTATTCTGAAATAATTATGCGAGGATCTACACAGCAATTCCATTATTTCAAAATAAATTTGAAATAAATTATTCCAACTACTGGAAGCCTTATTCCATGAGGAATAACACCTATTCTGAAATAGCTATTTCTGAATAGCTGTAGTGTAGATGCTCCACTGCTGCTATTTCGAAATAGTGCCTTCCCGGGGCCATTCAAAGTAATTACTCCTCACTGCCTCCTGGGGCTCTACATAAAGATAGCACATCCATACTATGGAAGCCTTCCTTCGACTAATTTTGGGGCTTGTAATGCAGGCGCGTTATTTGACTTGCCCACCATCACACAGGAACTTTGTGGCATAGAAGCCATAACATGACTCTGTTCTTTTCCTTCCTGCAATCCCTTTCTCATTCACATCACATCTTCCAACTTCTTCAATAAAGGATCATACAAACAACAGCCGCCTTAACTACACAACCCTGATTCATCTCCAGAGTAGATCCAATCTATGCGCTGAATGAAAGTCCAATGAGAAAAAAATCTATATAATCATGAAATTAAAAACTGCATTATTATGCATCCTTTATTCCTGGGGAAATTCCATGCCAGTGTGCACATGGAGAATTCATGTCTGGCATAGAATTTTGTTTCCGCACAGAAAATACATTTTTCCCGCGAAGTGATGCAGTTCCACCTTTTGCCCACCAGAGGCCTCTGTAGTGCCAGAATAGCCAGGATCATGAATATAGCCAGCTGCTTCTGGTGCCATAGTGACCTCTGATAGGCAAAAGGCAGAACTACAGCACTTCTAGGGAAGGTTGCATTTTCTGTGGGAAAACAAATTCTGTGCATGTGCAGTTGCACAGCATTCCTCCAAGAGCAGAAGCTCATCATAGCACTTAGCCAGTGGAGCTAGTTTAGGAAAGACAGAGTGGGGCACAGATTGGGGTCAGAATGGATATTGAGGGGAACAGAGTAGTGAGGTCAGGACAGTGTTCGCCAGAGACTGAATGAGAGTCACAGTACAGGCCACATAGGGATGGGGACTGCAGGCTCATGCAGGATAAAGGAAGAGGATAAAGAGACCCATAGGAATGGAGGAGCAGGGATGTGACAGATGTGCCTGACTGAATGGGAGAGACTTGAGGTCAGCCAGGGTCTATATAGGGAGGCTTCCCAATGCCCTAACAATCCCATCTTTATTCCTGCCCCTCTTCCCCCACCAAAACCTGTCCATATTTTTCACACCCACATCCACTCACTTTCCAGTTCCACTATAGGCTCCTTCCCTATCCCTCTGCTCCTCCATCACACCTGACTACCTAATGCCTTTGCACTGTTTCTGAGGGGAGCAGGAAATACATTTCTGTATTGTAATTTAAATAAATCACTTAACATTCTATATTAACACGACTAGTTTTTTAATCAAGCTGGTGGAATAAATCACCAGGAATTTGCCTTTAACTGTGCCCTGATAGACAAGGTAGTCTCTGCAAAATTATAGGATCTGTCAAAAAAGGTTTTATTTTCGACAAATCCGCGTCTAGACTGCTGCTTTTTTCTGAAAAAAACTCCATTTTGAAAAAAGCGATGGCCATGTTTATGCTAATGAGGTGCGGGATATTTAAATCCCTGCTTCATTAGCAATTTCGATGTGCCTAATCTACATCTCTCTGTCGACAGAGAGGTGTAGTCTAGACACACCCTAAGTAAATAAAAATATCTGAGGGCTAACCATTGATCTTTGATACTCATTTTCTTATACCATCATAAATCTAAAGTAAGACTGAGATTAGTGGATTGAAATATTTTTTTCAAAATTCCAAAATACATGGGATGAAATTCTGCCACCATTCAAGTCAATGATAAAACTCCCACTGACTTCAGCTGAGCCATGATTTCATGTATAGGCCTCAAGTCAATGATAAAACTCCCACTGACTTCAGTTGAGCCATGATTTCATGTATAGTCTCCACTCAATTTGCACAGAAAGCTATAGTGGTACAGCTATTCTGGCAAAACCTTCTAATGTAGACGCAACTGATCCTGACAAGAGTGCTATTGTTAATACATCTTAAACCAATTCTCTGAATTAAATAAACCATACCTGCCAAAGTCTTTATGTTGTTGTTGCCAATATAACAGAGTCCACACAAAGGCTTTTACCAGTACAAAAATGTTGGGGAAAAAATCACATGCCTAACTGATATTACAGTAGTAGCAAAAGATTTGAGCTTAGACCTGACCTCATTCTACATATGTTCTTATAAAGTTTTACTATTTAAACATAGATTATGAAATGAAAGACAAGCTATTTTAGAGAAATTAAAAGTGGTAAGTTTATATAAATTCAAAGTGGCTACTGAAATTAGTTTTGATTCTTACTTTGTTGACTGTTCATCGTCAGTCTTCTTTTTAGATGTAGCACCAGGTGCCATTCTGTACTGTTAGACCTGAAGAAAGAAAACAGCATATGGCACTTCGGTGACAAAATAAGACCCTGCTTCTACAAAGACCTTTATGTGTGCTTAATTTTACACATTAAGTAGTTCCACTTTAAAATGTGTTTCAGACAAAATAAGACCCTGCTTCTACAAAGACCTATATGTGTGCTTAATTTTACACATTAAATAGTTCCGCTTTAAAATGTGTTTCGTTAACTGCAAAACAGATATTGCATCTACACTACATAGTCATTAAACTTAAGTAAAAAAAAGTAATGATAATTTGACAAATAATACAATCCATAAAAAATGGTGAGATTTCAATAATGTGAGTATCTGACCATTTGAATTCTTTTAATGTGCATTTACCTAAAATTAAAATGCATGATTTTACAGCTGGTTCCAGTGGGTTAAATAGCATTGCATCAGAACTTGTACTACACAAAAACAGTTTTGTCATTCTTATGTAAAATAGAATTGACTCATTCTCTATGACTAAGACAAGTTATAAAACGTCTAAAGGAAGTTCTGCATTATTCTTTAGCCCAAATAAGTAAATACATAAATGGTCTGTGAATACTATTGTGTCAAATCTCTTCCTTCAAAAACACTCAACCTAATGACTGCAAGAGGAGGAAAGAGTCATATTTTGTAACAAAATTACAAAATAAATTCTTTCCGAGAAAGAAACACGGAAGATCTGATGAAACAAACCTGAATATTTGCATGTGGAAAATAAGAAATCTGTTGCCTCTTTTTAACTCTAGCAGCTAGTTAAAGTTTGGAGACCTGGGGACATTCCAGCTGGAAACTGAGTCTCATGCTTTTCTCTGAGGTAGTCTTGTTTATTTATAAGGAATGAGAAAAGTCCTGTGTTGCTGAATGTGGAAGAAACCAAGTATAAAAGAAGCAATTTCTTAATCTATGTCTAGACTACAGACCTTACAGCAACACTGCAGTACTGCTGTAGTTGCACTGCGGTGCAGTGTAAGGTCTTGTGAGGGAGAAAGGAAGGCCTGGCATGACAGGGGTTAAAGAAAGCCTATGGGCCCAGACAGTCCTGTCCTGATTTACCTGCAACCAATGCCAGGACTGGAGGAAGGAGCCTGATTCAGTTTGGCACTGACTAACAAGGAGGCCGGAGCCTGGTTCAACAATCATAAGGACATGAACCAGAGCCTGTCCACTCAGCAGCCATGGGGGCAAGTAAGCACTCACACCCTCACTAGAAAAAAAGGGGAACCTAATGCGAAGCCCCAACTAAGGGGAATCTGGACTCTTCGGGTCACATCCCAGATGTAAGGACTTCACTACGGAGTGGTTCAGAGCTCCTGGGCCAGGAGCACAGCCTCCTTTTTCACCTGTTTGCTCTGCTATCTAGCCACTAGGCTACACAGTTGCCAGGGACCAGGTCACGGGTCTCTTGTGTAGCTGGTTTATGCCAGCAAGAGAGAGCTCTTCCACCTGCCTAATTAAGCTACTCCCAATAAAAGGCAGTAGCTATGTCAGCAGGAGGGTGTTTCTTACCCAGATAGTGCTGTCCACTAGGGATGTTAGATATTGTGTAATTGAATAGTCATGTAACTGCATGAAATATTAGCGGTTACTTGAGTATTCTATAGTCCCTGGGGGTGGGAGGTGGGGGCGGGGCTGGCAGCCAGTGTGCTCCCAACCCCATTCCTGGGGAGCCCCCTACCATCCCCCTTTGATACAGAGACAGCAGCACAAGGTGGCAGGTGGGAGCCGGTCCGCCAGGGGAGTTAATTTAAGAAACAGCTCCCTCTGCAGACTGGCTGGCCGCCGGGGATTTAATTTAAAAACCAGCTCCCTGGGCAGACTGGCTGCCTGCTGTCTTATGCTGCTGCCTCTGATACAGAAGCAGCAGTGCAAGGTGGCAGCAGTCCCTGTTCCCAGGAAGCTGCCCCCCCCCCAGACGGGGGCTGCTGCCATGGACCAGCCTTTGTCTGCAGAGAGCTGGACTAAAAGAGGCAGCAGCGCAGGATGGGGGGCAGGCGGCACCACTGATCTGGTGCTGGGGGGAACCGGCTTTTAATCTGGCTCCGCCTAGCACCATCTCCTGGCTGCCCCCCACCCTTGCTGACTCTGTAGGAGGCAGCAAGGAGTAGGGCGAGCAGATCCGGG